TCGACATCAAAGGCCCCAGAGTTGACGTTGGGAGCCCAGAGCTGGACGTCCAAAGTCCCGAGGGCAAACTGAAGTTCCCCAAGCTGAAAATGCCCAAATTTGGGGTGAAGGGAGAGACCCCCAATGTCGAGGTGACTCTTCCCAAGGGGGAGGTGGACATTTCTGGCCCCAAAGTGGACATTTCTGGCCCCAAAGTGGACATTTCTGGCCCCAAGGTTGACCTGAAGGGCCCCAAAGTGGACATTTCTGGCCCCAAGGTGGACGTCGATGTCCCGAGCGTGGACATCGAAGGGCCAGAAGTGAAAGGAAAAGGTCTCAAGTTTAAAATGCCCGAACTGAACGTTCAGACCCCAAAACTGTCCATGCCAGACGTGGATCTGGGGTTGAAGGTCCCAAAACTGAAGGGGGATGTGGCAATTTCTGGCCCGAAGATCTCCGGGGATCTGAAGGGCCCCAAAATAGACGTGGAGGGTCCCAAGGTGGACGTGAAAGGCCCCAAAATAGACGTGAAAGGTCCCAAGGTGGATGTGGAAGTTCCCAGGATGGACGTGGAAGGTCCCAAGGTGGATGTTGAGATGCCCGAGGTGGACTTGGAATGCCCAGAAGGGAAGATAAAAGGCCCCAAATTTAAGATGCCGAAACTGAACATTAAGTCGCCCAAAATCTCGGTGCCGGACGTGGATTTGAACCTGAAGGGCCACAAAGTGAAGGGAGAGATGGACGTTTCCCTCCCGAAGGTAGAAGGTGAGGTCAAGGGGCCCAAAATCGACGTGGAGGTCCCGGACACAAACCTGGAGGGTCCGGAGGCCAAACTGAAAATGCCCAAAATGAAACTGCCCCATTTCCACGTGTCCGGCCCCAAACTGGAGGGAGCCGAGGTCGATGTGAACCTGCCCAAAGCAGAGCTGGAGGTGTCTGGGCCGGAGGTGGACGTTGAGGGGCCGGAGGTGGATGTGGGAGGTGCAGAAGGCAAATGGAAAGGCCCCAAATTCCGGATGCCGAAGCTGAACATCAAAACGCCCAAAATCTCGATGCCGGACGTGGATTTGAACCTGAAGGGCCCCAAAGTTAAAGGAGAGGTGGATGTGGCAGCTCCCAAGGTCGAAGGGGACTGGAGAGGGCCAGAAATGGAGGTGAAGGGGCCGAAGGTGGATGTTGAGGTGCCCAACCTGGATGTGGAGGGTCCCGAGGGGAAGGTGAAGGGCCCCAAGTTCAAGATGCCCGAGATGCACATCAAGGCCCAAAAGATCTCCTTGCCCGACGTGGACATCAACCTGAAGGGCCCCAAGGTGAAAGGANGTGGAGGGTCCCGAGGGGAAGGTGAAGGGCCCCAAGTTCAAGATGCCCGAGATGCACATCAAGGCCCAAAAGATCTCCTTGCCCGACGTGGACATCAACCTGAAGGGCCCCAAGGTGAAAGGAGACATGGACGTGTCAGTGCCAAAGCTGGAAGGTGACCTGAAGGGCCCTGAACTGGACATCAAGGGCCCCAGGGTGGACATTGATGCCCCTGATGTGGACATTCACGGCCCAGAGGGGAAGTTCAAGATGCCCAAGTTCAAGATGCCCAAGTTTGGAATGCCCGGGGTCAAGGCTGAAGGCCCCGAGGTGGACGTGACCCTGCCGACAGGAAACCTGGATGTGTCCGGTCCCAAGGTGGACATTGAAGGTCCGGAGGTGGACATTGAAGGTCCTGAAGGAAAACTGAAGGGCCCCAAGTTCAAGATGCCCGAGATGCATTTTAAGACCCCCAAAATCTCGATGCCCGACATTGACCTGAACCTGAAGGGCCCCAAAGTGAAGGGAGAGGTGGATGTGTCAGTGCCAAAGCTGGAAGGTGACCTGAAGGGCCCTGAACTGGACATCAAGGGCCCTAAAGTCGATATTGAGGCCCCTGACGTGGACATTCACGGCCCAGAGGGCAAATTCAAGATGCCCAAGTTCAAGATGCCCAAGTTTGGGATGCCCGGGGTCAAGGCTGAAGGCCCCGAGGTGGACGTGAACCTGCCGACAGGAAACCTGGATGTGACCGGTCCCAAGGTGGACATTGAAGGTCCAGAGGTGGACGTTGAGCTGCCTGAGGGGAAGGTGAAGGGCCCCAAGTTCAAGATGCCTGAGATGCATTTTAAGGCCCCCAAGATCTCGATGCCTGATGTCGACTTCAACCTGAAGGGCCCCAAAGTCAAAGGTGATCTCGATGTGTCTGTTCCCAAACTGGAAGGTGACCTGAAGGCCCCAGACATCGACATCAAGGGCCCCAAAGTTGACGTTGACCTTCCTGACGTTGAGCTGGAAGGGCCTGAGGGGAAGATCAAGGGCCCCAAGTTCAAGATGCCCGAGATGAACATCAAGGCCCCCAAAATCTCCATGCCCGATGTCGACTTCAACCTGAAGGGCCCCAAGATCAAGGGAGACATGGATGTGTCTCTTCCAAAGCTGGAAGGTGACCTGAAGGGCCCTGAACTGGACATCAAAGGCCCCAAAGTCGATATTGAGGCCCCTGACGTGGACATTCACGGCCCAGAGGGGAAGTTCAAGATGCCCAAGTTCAAGATG